TGCTCACATGGTTTCCGTGCATTTGAACTCAAATACGTGGCCTTTTGCAGTGTACGGCTGCTGCATGGTCGTTTGCTTGACGGTCCTCAATATTATTTACCGTTCTACATCCTTTTTGCGGATCGGCAGCAGTATCTGTCAGTACCGTTGGCCGTCAACATAGTTCTTCGCTTTTCAATCTCCTCGCTTGGTCTTGCAGCACCGAGTCGCTTTATTAGTAATTCCTGCCAAAGAACCATGGGTCAAAGCAGTCAAAAGCTGACGCGATAATCAACCCTCGCAGGAAACATTTGTTCAACAAACCCCAAGGTACACCTAAGTCTGTTTATGTGGATATGAGCCCTAGACTTGGTGTTGCTCTTCCTCTTCCCCACGAATGTAGCGTAACTTCCTTGGTTGAGATTGCATCGCGCCTGGCGATCAAAACATGCACACTATGTTGTACTACTGGTCCTACAACGGGTCGCTAAAACTGGACCAGTTCGAGGGTCGGATCGAGGCAGGACCGACGTTATTGGGCAGTCGCACCCATAACAAGGACCACAAACGAGTTGGGTGTGGTGGCACACCTAGGCGCAGGTCCACGCCGTGATAGGCACCTGTACCCAATTCCACTTTCGGTCTTTTTGGGTCGCTCTTGACCTCGGGCCCAGGTGGGTGAAGGAGGAGAGTGTGCGATCGATGCCGCATAAGGTTACAAGCCGAAAATGCCGGAGAAAATGGCTACCCGCGCAACTTCGTCAACTGGTGCATGCGCAAAAGAGATGGGCAACAAAATCGTACCGAGCCCAAGTTTTGGCGAGGGATCCCGTATGTCAAAAATATCTTAGAGACCGTCGGCCGCCTTCTCGCACCACTTGGAGTTGGAGTCGCGCATAGGCGTCAGATACTGGAAAATAAAAGACCCACTGCCACGACAAGAAACACCTGGAGTCGTCTATAGGATTGAATGCAGCTGCGGACAAAGCAACTACATCGGAGAAACTGGAAGACTTCTCAAAACGCAAAGCCAAGCAGACCGGAGATGGGGGAGTACATCAGTGGCTGGTATGGCGAAAATTTGCGTACCACCGTGCTCCCTGGTCCACAACAAACACTTGACGAAATTTTCCATGGGAATTTTCGCAAATTTTAAAATTTTAAACAAAAAAAGAATAGGAGCAGCGGCATGGATTCCCGCTCTTGCGTTGTGGGCCTGTGTGTCCCTATATCGCAACACAGATCACCTGGTTGCAGCCTATATTTGACTGTGATTTCGCAAACAAAAATATGGAGCAACGACAGGAATCCGAGCTATCACGGCGTGGGCCTGCGTGCTGCTACACCCGATCGGGATTCCTTTCACATGAACTCATTACGGCACCACATTCCTGTTCCGTTCGCCATATCGGACACTGGGCCCCACCACAGGAAGACATCGCCATCGAACTAAGTGGCCGATCGCCATCAGTGCCAACTGACCCTCCTCTTCCCCACCGATCGCGCATTCTAGTGAGGTACCGTTCTGGTGCGACAACTGCGAATCCGTGCCAGTATGACTGATGAGTTGCAGTGGCAGCAGCAGCAGCACCGCCATTTTCCCTGCCAGCACCATCAACTGCCACAGGCGCTTTGCGATCGTGTGCCCGTATATAGAAAAACTGTCGTTCAAACATCACCCAACCACCGTTGTTAAAATACTGAGTTCGTGAGGCTGACTAAGGTTGACT